GAATATAGATATTGCCATTACACAATATCATATGTATTTTCCTAATCTGATTGGAAACTAGTTTTCTTTGTCTCAACTAATTTGAGAGAACGGCTGGGTGTAGAAACTTGGTAGATGTGTCCAAAGAAAGGTTGGTTTGTAGATGAGCCAACAAAAGAGAAATGAGCTAATTCCCCAGAGGCCTTAAAGAGGTACAATATCTTATTCTAAAATAGTTGTTAATATTAAAACTGTAGTAACAGTTACCCAGCGCGCGTTGCTGCACTTAACTACTATTAATTTAAATGATAATCGTTTTATTTATGATAAATAACAACAATAGGGATACCAATTGACAATAACTAAATATGTTATTATTTGTACTTTGTGTGAAAATCATACATTTGCTAAAATTAAAGATGTGATACTCAGGGATGCCATTGTGCCTTATTAATTGTAATAAAAAAAAAACAAGAACCAAAGGAAATTGTAGACACTTAAATTCAAATGGTGGTTCAGATTAAATCATCGGTATTCTTTGGATTGGATTAAGATTATATCTCCTTTGAACGTGCCACTGATGATTTTTTCTTCGGTCAAGATTTGTTTCATTTTTTTATACGTCAGTCTTGTTCCACTATCAGACAGTAAATGCGCCGCGAGCCTGCAGATTGGGGAACGCAACACCCATCACTTTTGGAGCGAACGATCTTGGAGTGAATGCAACAGTTTACTATGATTACATATTTCAATAATACTGCTCGTTCACTCCAATGTGCATTCGATCCAATGTACAGTACACTTTAAAATTTGTTTTTCCACAGGCCCGTCTACTTCTGGAGCTGACTGTACCCTTTGGATCGAATGAACATTGGAGTGAACAAACAGGCAAATAAATTGTAAAAACACTTTTTGGAGTGAACGATTTTGGAGTGGATGCAATAGACCCGTCCAAATTATGTAAACAATAAAAGAGTAAATAGAAATTGTAAAATCTACCCTTAATCAAGAGTGAAACATTGAGTCGACGCCTGTGCACTCAAACGTCACCAATATGAAACAGAAACACTCACTCTATTTTCCCCTATGTTGAGTAATCTTCGTTGTAATCTTTTTGATCCATGTGGCTATCACCAATCACATTTTTAGGGCTATAAGTGCCTAATTACAAAATTTTGTAAAAATCCTTCCGCTGGATTTTGAGATATATATTACAGACATATAGACAAACCGACTTAGCTCGTATTATAGTGTAGGATTCATAACTTACCCGTGATCATGGCCTTAGAGCCCAAACATGTCAGCTTTTCAATAAAATATTAAATTTAAAGGGTACTTAGCTTTTCAATAAAATATTAAATTTAAAGGGTACTTATCTTCAATTCTTTAATCTATATATTATATATACATGTCCGCGAACGTAAAAACTTGGGTAATTTTTGTCCGATTTTGATTAAATTTGGTTTAAAGGTGTAAGGCGGGATACAGTTGAATGAGTTCGCAAACCAGCATGATCGGACCATGGGAACGGGGTTTTACAGGGGGTCTCATTTTTAACTCTCAAAACATAAAATTTCCCAATTTCTCTCTTGACCTTCTTAAAGAGCTTAAAGAAAAAATAATTTAGTACATCAAAGCGTTTTTGTACAGCTATTGGTAACATTGAAAATTTAAAAAATTGTAAATTTAAAATTCCCATGTTATTCTTATTGAGAATATTGTAAATGTTGTAGTTTGCTTGTTTATGGATATATTTTGATCAAAATTGGCAAATTTATTTATTTTATACTACAAAATTATTATAGAAGATGGTCCGATCATGCTGGTTTGCAAAATCATCGAAGTTTATCCCCCCTTACACTTTCAAATAAAATAATATCTAAATCGGACAAAAATTACTTAATTTTATTACGTTCACGGGCGTATATTTATATATATTTGAACCAATAGGTTTTTTGGCCCTTGAGGACAACAAAATGGAAAAGTATATCGGTCCCAGCTCCAGGTCTTACCGTGCCACCTACGTTAATAGCTACACTTTTCCATAGGGAAATTCGCTAAAAGGAGTTCACATGTTATTTTAATGCAACAAAACTTATTGCTCTACAGTATACTCCCTCTTATCCGGACACCTTTTAACCGGAGATCGGTTTAACTGGACTACACTTGGTAGAAATAAACTTGAACTTGGTAGAAATAAAGAGGATGCTACACTGGATGATCGAGAACCCTGTCTATACCATCGACGAGTTCATTGCACTCTGTGGAAGAAACTTTGACTTTTGTAAAAAATAAATGTTTATTGTTTTATTGTAATTTTTGACACCATTGCTGAGCTTAATGCTCATGTAATAAAGTATCTATCTCTCTCTATCTCTCTCTCTCTCTCTCTCTAGAAGTGACATCTCTTTATCCGGATAATTTTTATTAGCACATCGGTTTAACCTGTCTAGATCGGCAGGAAGTGGGCGGTACTGAAACGATTGTTCTCATGGGAAAGATTTGAGACCAGTGATTACGTGTTTAAATACAATGCTCTCTTAATTTTAAGTCAAATACTGTTTAGATTATGCATTTAAACGGTCCGTTTTAACGAGATTTTGGGGACATCGGTTTAACCGGAAAACCCATTATCCGGACTGGCCTCGGTCCCGAGGGCCTGGATAAGAGGGAGTCTACTGTACTTAGGATGAAACTGGGTATACAAAAGTAAATACATATCCAATATGATGAGTTTCGAAAAGCATCATGGACAAAGCATCATCCTATGGGGTAAATATGAATTTTTGTAACTATACACTCTGAAAACCTTAAGATTCCTTGCTTGGGTTTAGTGGATGTGTTCAAAAGAGCTTTAAAAACAAAGTAGTATATTGTGTCTTCCCCCGATGAAGGATTGCGGTGGTAGTATATAGGAAAAAATAGTATCCCATGAAATTTATAATGACTATGGTTGATAAAACCCCACTTTTGATATGATTGTATATAAGAGATTAAACACATATCTACTATAATTATTGATTTACACAAAGCATCCTAGCTGGACCATGAGAATATGCTTTCACAGGGGGTTGTATGAGATGTAACTTCAAAATCCAATGGGTTTAGTTAAAAAAGAGTTTTAAAAACAAACAATGTAATATATTGTGTCTTTAATTCCTCGATGCTATGGGTAAAATTATCATCCTGGGATGAAATCAAAAGCGGCTAAACTGTTGATGAAACTCCACTTTTGATATGACTGGATGTAAGAGAGTGAAGACTTTTCTAGCATGAAAAGCGAAAGCTTCCTAGCCAGATGATGAGAACAGGCTTTCTTATAGGGTTATGGGGCAAATATATTGTTGTATTTTTTACTTTGAAAACTTCCAAATTCCACATTCTAACTGAAGTTTTTTTTTAAAGCTAAAAAAACAATTACTATTGTCAGATTTATTAGTGTTGTGTTTTTTTTTCAATTTATCATACTCACTCTATTATAATATTATTGTTTGATAAAGGGTTACCATACAGAGAAAATTTCCAATACAGATTCCAATGTAGTTCTAATAAGACTAATGTTAAGGTAAAGCTCCACTATTAATGTAATTTGGTTAAATACAATAAACACTCATCAGGTTGAGTTTTACTAACTGTTTTGATTAGATCATGTGAACTGGCTTTTATATGGGGTGAATATGATTTCTTTCTAAATTAACTTGAAGACATAAAAAAATTTAGATATTTTCTGATCTCCATATTAATTAATGACATAAAGAGAGTTGTCAAAAGCCCTTTTCTTTAGTTTGCTGATAATGATGTTCTCAGCTAAGTTTTTTCCCAAGTCCAAAGATAATATGATATCAATCCCGCCAAAAATAAGTTAATACATTTTAGCATAAAACAAAATCCTCTGGATACCGAATATTTCCTATACGGCAGCCTGTTCTGGACGTCTAACCAACAGAGGCCATGGTGTTTTGTTGACTTGTCATTTAAGTTGTAACCATACACATTCACCACATCTGCACCAAGGCCTCAGACATGCTCGAAATGATCTGCTCTGCAAGACACTGTTTGAGCATTGAGCATGCATGCCTGCTCGATCCAGTGTAGTCCTTTGTGCGCCAACCTAGAGTACTACCGTGGAGTCTGGACGCCTAACTAACCAGCTCAGCCTTATTAACTAGGCTACCTTCGTTTCGTCCACACACGGGAAGAATGAGCGTGCACCTAGTAATAGTAAGCCTATACATATTTACTTGTATTGTATATGTACACATATTAAATCTTTATTAATTATTCATATCTTTACAGTGAAGACACTTATACCATAAACAATAGAATAAACATAGACTGTCAAAGAAAGGTTTTGCGATCTGCCGCTAGAACGTTATCACCGTTCGATATCGGTTATCGGTATTCGATTCGGTGTCGTCGTCGACTACTCGCCAGCTGTTACCAGCACTATCACTCTTGCAAACAAAATGCTTACTATATCGCTTCCGCTCAGCCTCAGGAAATTCCTCAGGGAATTCTTCCAAAGTTGGCAACACTACTCCCAACTACCAAGTTGTTATGGAAACCGTCGCTAGTGCTTGACGCTGCAGTGGTTTGCGCCGTAACTACACATTACCCCTAGCGGTCGGCGCCGGAATATACTCTAACCGCAGCACAGCTGACAGTCTATATTTCTTTCTTTTTGTCTATGCTTATACTCAGTGCTTAATTTGCGGCGGGATGGCGTTTTGGTGCCTCTCAACAATTTTTTGAGGGTGGATAGCAGGAGGGGGTCATAATTCCTGGTAGGTAGGTTACAGTTACATACATGACAATTGTCAATACATTTTTTGTAATGTCCAATGACAAATAAATAATTCTGATTCTGAGTTCCGGCTTCTAATTTTTTACAAAACGAGTACTGAGTATACTCCTTGTTCTATAACCAGAAGAAAATAAGGCAATAAGCTGGTGTTAACTGAAAATAAATATCTGCATTAGATAGATTTTGTGCAAGCAACTTAATCTACACTTGTACATACCTTTTTAGGAACTTGAGTTAAATTGAATGGAGCTGGTTCTGTCTTTGACTTTTCAGGTTTTGGTGGGAGCTTTGGAGGCATGAATATTTTTTCATTCATTGGATGTGCTTTAATCTGATGCCTAAAATAAAAGTATCCTTGATCAGTTTTAGAACACAGAAATATCCTGAATAATTATACTTCTAAAGGACGTTTTCAGTTTCCAACACAGCCACACCATAAATATTGTAAAAAAGGTGTCAAGCACAATTTTGAGGTTAGGTTCCTTCGACAAGGCTTCACTACAGTAATTATTATCATTATTCTATTCCATTTCACTAACTATATAGTGGTTTAAATTACCTTGTTACTGTCAAAACAATCCTTTGTAGTTTTGACAGTTTTTGTAGTTTTTCTTGATCGTTTTGACAGTAACAAGGTAATTTAAACCACTATATAGTTAATTCAGACGATCCAGAGGCCATTCCACCATGACATTTCACTAAATCCAAGTCAAAACCCCACCCTACCCGAGCGCTTAACTTGTTAAGCTATTACCGTAGGCCTTATGTTAAGACCTGAAACCAGGATGGATATTTGTAAGTTGTTTTGATGTGTCAACCGTTGAAATGCATATACAGTATATTGTATATGTCCGTTGGCATGATAACTTGAGTAAAAATCCTATGGTTTTAATGAGTTTTTGTACTTACGTCCACAAACCTACGTTTATTTGGACAAACCATCTTGATCAGACTATGGAATAAAGGTGTTATGGGGTACAAATTTCCCATTTTTGACCTTCAAAGCGTAAGTTATGTATTTCTTACTATATGTTACCATTATATAATGACAAAAAAAACATTTCTTTCTTCCTTTTGGCAGGGTATTTAATTACTTGTTAAACCTTATGTCATTTAAATTGAAAATAAATATGAGATTGTTAAGAAAATATTTTAGCAAAATACCCAATCCAACAATTGGATATTCCTTTAGTATGCAGTGAGGGTAAAACATTTTGATAATCCGCTATGGTTGTAAATAATAATACAGTAGACCCCCTCTTAACCGACCCAATGGGACCGGACCTAGGTCGGATAACTCAAAAGGTCGGTTAAAATGGGCAATCTCTAAAATCATAACATAATGAAGTGCTATTCATTTGGAATTATATAATCACTAGCAGAGTACCCGTACTTCGTACGGGATTGGCATATAAGTATAAAATGCTTATTGCAGTTATACTCGAGCTTTACGTTTGCAATGGGGGAGGCCACAGTTTAGCCATAATGTTCTACCACTTCACCTAAACAATAGAGAAAAATAAATTAATTCGAAAAATATTACAAATTATTTATGAAATTAAACTAAACTAATAAAAATAAAAATTATTTATTTAAATTATGATGTAAACAATCCTACTTTGACAGTTCTCATTGTGTATCACAGTTTTTTTTTTGTTGCCGCTTAGTAAAAAAATAGCTGTTTTCATAAATATGCAATAAAAATAATAGTGCTTCACCCTGTTGGTAAATCTTATAACTTTTAATGCTTTTTCATATCATAGAACCAACCTTTTAAGTTGAAACAGCTGACTAAATTCTTTAATTCCCTTTAAATGCGATTACTCATAAGGTTAACATGGGGAACTACAGAACCACTGGGGCGGAGCCCGAAAGGATTTTTGAAATAAGAATATGCCTATATGTTAATCGGGAATGTGAGCTATCATCATGCCAAATTTCAGCCCAATCCGTTCAGTAGTTAATGCGTGATTGAACTTCAAACACACAAACTTTCACATTTATAATATTAGTAAGATTATTTTTAAGTCATACTTGCATTATTTATAAAATAAATTACTCTTATCTCCTTTTTCGTATCAATAAAAAAGGCACAAATAAACACAAAACAAGTCAAATAGGCCTACTTTCAGTGGAATGGGTGTCCACAAAGTCCTGACAACATTTTGTTGTGTAATAAATTGAAAACCATTAGACATACAAAAGTGAGATTTTATTTTTTAGAAAGAGCATGAAAAAAAGTTTTTATACACAATTCATATAGGCCTAACATTAGTACACTTTTCCACATGAGACCCATTTGTGTCCCGTAGAATTTCCAGTCTGAATTCAATCTCCTTCCAAGTACTTGCCAACATTGTTGCCAACCAGCGATTGTTGAAATTGCTTCTCTGATCCTGGTCTTCAACACGCCCACGTCTGAGGTGTAGCATAAACCTTGTCTTTCACAAAGCCCCAAAAGAAGAAGTCTAAAGGTGTGATGTCTACATTAATGAGATCTAAAATTTCATTAGTGTGACGGGCAGTCACCAAAAATTAGAATAATTAGAATGAATCTGTGCTTCTTTTAATTGTAATTTAATAGTCACTATATTTTTTCACACAAATTATAAATGAAATCAATTATTATAAAAATGATTACGATTAACATCATTTAATCACTGACTTTAAAAGGTTAAGTTAGCCTGGACAATCACAAAGATTATAAAGTTGAAAATTTGAAATATTAATAAAGTAATCGCCTTACAAAAAAACCCGGAGACCGGCGAAGTGTCCCCGTGAAATGACTGGGGCCAAGTGTCTTCCTTTCGGTCAACTCCAACCTCAGTCTCTCCAAAGTACAATTGCTAAGTCTACGGTTTTTGTGGGTCGGTCGATTGAGCAAGCTACGTGTCATCAAGAATTCTGTCTACTAAATGCCAATGTTCAGACACTGGTATATGCATTGTGAAATCCATTTACCAGGTCTTTTACTTTTGAAATATAATCCCAAAATTTAGAAAATAATTTTTGGTGACTGCCCGTCACATTAGTAAAAGAAGATCGGTAAGGGTTATCATTCGGTTTCAAAAGTTGCACTAGTTGAATCTTGTATGCGCTTAGTTTGAGGTTTTTACGCAAAATCTTATGTACAGTGGTACGTGGTAAACCAAGTTACCTGGAAGCTTTGCGTACTGATGTACGTGGACTGCGTGTGAAGCATTGTCTAACGACATCAACGATGTCTTCTGTAATTTTAGGCCTACCTGAAAGCGGCAGGTCCGCAACACTTCCATTGTTCTTGAAGTTATTAAACCAACGAATAATTGATCTATAGCTTGGAGCTTGCCTCCCATAGTGCAATCTAAACTGTCTTTGAACGTAAACAGGTGAATTAGACCGTGACGCCACAAAACACATTGAGCTTTTTCTTCCTTAGTAGCCATTTTTACGACAGACACAAGAATTGTAACTTTTGTTTGGTATTACACTCAACAATGAAATTATGGGTTGCCAACATATACAAACAAAACTTCATAAAATCAGCTGTTAAACAACATGTATAAAACATGTAAAACCCCATCAATTCTACAAACATAAACCATTTCAAATGTTGTCAAGACTTTATGGACACCCGGTATTATAATACTAGGCAAGAGTCAATAAAAATTCCTATTTTAATAACTTTAGTACTGTAATGTATTAATTGATGCTTTCCAAATCCATCTTAATACAGACAGAACCTTTTGTCGAAATTAAAGATACAAGCAACAATTTTCTTACAAGACAGGATGTTTATTTATAGCCTCTCACTGGAGGTTCGAGGCACAAAAACTATCTTGACCTTGGAGTCAAGAAGATGACTGTGTTGTCTTTGTCTTGATGGGGGAACTAACAACACAGAACCAGCACATTTCAAACTAGCCTTAGCAAAGATCGAATCGCTTATTAGGCATTCTAAAGCAAGGATTATATTGACAGAGTTACCCTACATCTATCAACAGCCAGAAAATGGGAAACAATTTTTTGAGATATAAGAATGTAATTCCTGGCTATTGTCTCTGTCAATCAAAATGAATGTGAAGTTCTTAATTTTTTAACCCAAAAAAACATTATACTAAAGATGGATATAATTTAAATCAGATATGAAAATCTGTTGTATCTAGGAATATTGCAAATTGGCTAAACAAACCCTTCAGTACTGAGTCCAATTCAAGAACCCAGACAACATCTTTTGATCCTGCAGAACACTCCCCATCATCTGTTTTGAATACACCTTTTATTCTCAGAAGCAATAGTATAAAAGTAGTGAGAACTGACATAACAGAAATCAGAAATCATAAATAAACTCTCCAACCAACCAGACACAGCTTTTGCACATTGTATCTCTGCAGATATTTGGCACATTAAGAACATGTCAGCAGGTGTCACTGTGATTTTAAAGAGTTTCTTTGGCAAACCAACTTTGGCTGACTTTATCAACCAACACCTGACCAGTCAACAAATTAAAGATGGCTCTACAGTCTGTGGATTGGTTACAAAATCTCATTACTTTAGGAAGTCCACAATTTGTTACTATGAGAAAGCATTTGAAGCGCTCACAGAAGACTTAAAAAAAAGAAGAACCTAAAGCGAGTGATCTGTTCTCCACTTGGATGCGTTAAAGACAAAGTGGCGCCATTGATTTTTATAAAAAATTTAATGAAGTTTCAAGAAAATACTGGTCTCAGAAGTTGTGAATGAAGTGAACAATTCCTCTGATAGGTACAGCTTGGCAGCAGAGTTGGAAAAACTAATGAAACCAGGAGACGCACCAAACACTTCAGCTCCACATGCTACAGACACCATTACTCCAACACCATCACCTACCAACACTTCTCTGAATGATGTTGTAATGTTAAACCTAAAACTTAGAGGGTTATAGATTTTCAGGTAGAGTCAACTAAGAGTTGGCCCGAGACATTGGTTCAGGCCAGAAATAATTTTTGGGCTATGTTAAATTGTTCTGAGCTGAGTTTATATTTTTTAATCGCAGAAAGCATCTGCAACTTTGCAATCAAAATTAACACTTTTGCCACAATCGCAGGTGATGTTCTTGGTTTTGCAAGGTCGTGGAAGAGGATGACATTTCACCACTACATCCATGAAGGAGGTTCTGTATTTAGAAGTAACCACAGTAGACATTTAAAAAAATAATACCCGGTGAATAATCTTTTCAAGGCAATCAATCCGATCTGGAGTAAAAAAGGCTGGTCCGCAGACTCGTATTTTATTGTTGGTATTACATGTATTGAAGCTCGCTGATGTTTTTTGACATAGCAGTTTATAAATGCTAATAATTGTCCAATTAAATGTTTTAAGAGTAGGCACTAGACATCTAATTCATATCAATGAACTAATGAGAGCATTCCTTGGGATTAAAGAAGACTGTCTCCTTACTTTTTCATTTCCTCCAACTCCATTTGTTCACGCTGCTCTAGTGAAGGTGCTTCCACTGGACGTGATCTCTGTAATGTCATGAGTTTGGGAGTAAGTGCGATTGTTCGGCGAGGCTTATAAGATTGTCTCCTCTTCAAGAGTGTCCCACTTTTACCTAAAAATAAAAATCCTCTTTGTTATTTGTTTTTATTCATCACTGCCTCCAGGATTGTTTTTTGACAGTACTAAAATAGGTTCAGATACCTTATGCCATCAATCCTAATTTAGTCTCTTGGGTGACTAGTTTGTGGATTTCTAACAACATTTATTTAAAAATACTAGGGTGAGAATTTGGCTGGAATTTTAGGAAAAGTTAATTTGGAACTAACAAATTTATTGGTGGACCAGTACCGCAGGGAACTTTGAATGGTACTGAAAATAGCTGATTCGGTAATTAAAAGTCTTAGCTTTGGACTTTGAAATTTAGATCAGAAAAATTACCGAAGTAAAACGAGATTATAACTTATAATTATAAAAAAAATTAATTAAAAATAATAATAATAATTATAAACTTATAATTATAAAAATATTAAAAGTAAATTAATTATCTGGGGTTTCAATTGGCATAAATATATAATGCAAAACCCAATGAAAGAGCAGAATTTCCATTTCTTTAGAAGCAGGTAATAGCGCAAAAGTGAAAAATTGTCATCAACCATACCATCATGAAATGAAGACGAGTTACGTGATGAAAATTAAAGGGAACCATTTTAAAACTAATATGATTTTGTTAAATTTTATTTTTTTCTGCTGTCATCAGCAGGGTAAAAATTGAACAACGAGCAGGTTTTGTTGACTAAAGGGGAGAAAATTGTTGTACAAGTAGCACTTTAACCAAAGTAAGTTCATATGTTTATCTAAATTTTGTTTTATTGCATACTTTTACATTACAGAGTTGATAACGATTAAATGTGTATGGTTTGTTAAAAAAACATTTTTTTAAATAAAAAAAATGTGTTTGTTGGTGATATTTTTCAAACTATTAAACCCAAATAACCACAACTGTGCAAGGCTTGGTCCCCTGGTACTGTTAAGTATTTATTAGTTTTCTTTATTTCAATCATATCTAAATTATTCCAAAACAAGTCAATCAAAATTCATTAACAATTATTATTATTAAAGTTTAAATTACAATTCATTTCAATATTACAAATTATCATATGTTATTCGGCCTACATAAATTATATTACATCACATCTATAATATTAAAACAAAATAGGGTTTTTTTATTTCACGATTCTGAATCAACCACTCCACGGATTTTCATGATTTTTGTGTTGAAAGAAAGATAATTTTGAGAACTAGGGAATGTCGAAGCCATAATTTTAGTTTAGGATCCCAGTTATTTAGAAATTAAGTTTTAATTTTTGAAAAGTCTAGCGCTCAGCCGACGCTAAGATTCTAAACTAGCTTTTGGTGTAATATAATTTGTTTATCATAACAGCTGTAAACATTCAGCGTTTGTAACTAATAAGAGGATGACAGATTATTTAAATATACATAGGTAAAATACTAGGATGTTCAAAGGATTTTTTTAAATAAATCTTTGTAATCTTCGGTTTGTTTTAGTGCAATATAATTTTCTTTTAACTACCAGCTGGTTAAATATGAAAATGCTCTGTAGAACTATGAGGTTATTTTATTTACTCTGATTTGTCATTGATTTTTAGGAAATAAGTAAGATTAGTAGACCACCGAGAAAAGTAACACCATCGATGTATACAAGTCGAGGCTCTGTACACGAGTCTTAAAAAAAGGATATGCAAATTATTATACTGCTGAACTCTTTTAGGAAAGGGTAGGAAAATCCATTTTTTACACGTTTCAATTCATCTTGGTTTGTTTACAATCAATGTTTTTGAATGATTAAACTTTGTTTGGATTAGGCCCGGAAGTATTGATGTCATAAAGAAGAACAAGAATCCTCAGGAATACAATTTTAAATTGGCACCACAGCCCAGACGGGTTTTATCCAAAGATATACAGATGAATGACATAGATTGAGCACAACGTCATCATTGACCTAGGATACTGCAATTAGACTAACCATCTTTTTATGAAATCTAAAAAGTTGTTTGGGGTGTGTTTAGTTGTGGTTACGTTTGGAGGTGCTGAATATTTTAAAGTTTAAATAAATGAATACGGGGAATTACAGTGTATATTGATTCAATGAGGGTGGTTTAATTATTAAGGATATTAGAACTGATAACGGAATGGATAATAAACATAGACAATTAATTACGTCACTAGCTTTACTAGCGAGTTTTACGTTTTAAATTCCTTCAACATGTGACCAGTTCTTTTGTTTAAATGAATATTATTTTATTTTTGACTCAGCTGTTTATCAAAACAAACTATATGTTGTTGTTTTTACTTTTCTTTGTGTACACTTATTTATTTAGCAATTGATGCAGTGAAATTGACATAAAGGATGTGTGTGGACGATTTGTTTAATGATGTCAGGACACCAACTTTATAATTATGTGTACTGTGAATTTTATTGGATGTTTTTGTTTTATTTTAGGGAGTTTATATTCAGACCTACTGGAAATTGTGTATAGTATGAGTAATTGTATTGTGTTGATATTGATTATGGAAGAGGCAGGTATGCGATGTAATTAGAAGGTGATATCGTTGACTAGGCCTATACACTTTCTCAATTGATAATTACTCTTTCTACAGTAGGCTGCTATAAAATTTGTCTTTATACGTGTACTCTAGCTGTTCTGATTTATACACAGTTTTAACTGACTACTCCCATACGTAGGACGGGCTAACACCTCGTTGTATCTAAAAATAATATTTCATTATTAAAATTGGCAACACTATTAATGCAAGCAGTTAAATAAGCAGTCTTATTAGTTTTATTGTTAGCAAAAAAATATTAAAAGACAAATGAATAAGTAATTGTGGTATACATTACCTATAGACTGGCGTTTGTGACTGTGGAAACGAGGAGGTGTATCTCTCTGGTAGTGTAAAATATGTTCTGCCATCGCCATGTACTTTTCAGGGGCTCTCATCTCTTCTGCATAAGTGCTTTTTCTTTTACGATTTTTATTTAGGTCAGCATCCTTAGCTATAGATCTTGTGCGTAGTTCTATTTTAGGAGTTTTTATCTTTTCATCGTTTCTTGTAACCATAGAGTGTTGTTTTTCAATATCAGTTTTGATTTCAATTCCATCAAAATGGGTCCTTTTTCTTGTTCTTAAAGATATGTTCTTCAGGTCTTGACTAGATCACATGCAATAAAATAAAACATAGCAAATAAGTTAAATGCATTAAAAAAAAATTGATCAAATTACAAGGATTTGGCTCTTTGAGGTTTATTAAGAATCTAGCTGTGGATGGGAAGAAGAGGGGGGAACCCATTGTTAAATAGTGTCAGTTATGGCCAAGCAAGTAAAACGTTAAAAACTTGAGTTTGACAAAAGCCTCAACTCTAAATAAATTTCAATATCAGTGCTGTGTAAGAATTTTCTCCCCAATGATCCTTCTTGGTAAACAATAAAAATCCCAATCTTGAAATGTTAACCAGCTTTCAGTTAAACAGCAACAATAACGAGTGACAAAGATAGAGACAGTATAATAGGACCCTGGACGTCTCGAGTTATACGAGCGAACGGATGTAAGTTTAAGGTAGATAAACCCTAACCCAACTAAACACTAGGGGTGGACGAGTACTCAAACTTCGAGTAATTACTCGACTTTTTACAAATACTCGACCCACTCGACCTCAAGTAGTAATTACTACTCAAAAATTTGAGTCAAGTAGTTATAAATAATGCCACTTCACAATTTTCTACACCCTTATTGAATAAATGATATTTGTTTTCTTTTGATGTCTTATTTAATCTCCACTTCAAACTCAGTGCTGCCAGATGGACGATAATTTTTGTACTTGTACAACTGTGGTAGTGGCGTAAACAAACTATAAGTATATTTTTCTAATTAGTTTACATACACATGATTTAATAGCTATACCTTACAAGTGTAGTAAGAGCGTTTTTACATCACGCAGGTGAATGTTGTAAAACGAGCGGAAGTGAGTTGCATAATTTACCCAAGTGATGTAAACACGCTCTTGCGTAACGTTTAACATACAAGATTTTACCTGACCCGACAATATACAGGAGGTTACGAACAATATTTTTCATTATCCATTTCACTTCATTTTTTTAAGGAAAATTCTTAAAAACATAACAATAAAATTCAAGCGCACAGCTGATTTCTAGCGTTGAACATCGTTGGCTCCATAGAGGTATATTTTTTAAGTTAATCACTCAATGTTAATTTAAGGGGTTTCATTACCTCACCGAGTGAGTTTTTTTCAACTTTACATCACTCGAGAAGTAAAGAAGTTGTATACATCACGCTTGGGATAGGGAAGTTTAAAATGGCGGGTTAGGTAAATTAGTCAAACTATTAACTTTCGTTTACAAATTAAAAGCTATAGCAATTTTATGTTAATTTTGCCGATATTCACCATAATGGTGTAATGATAAATATGGCAGCTTCAGCCCTTCAAAACAGATGTTTGATGGGAAAACATAGCAGAAGCAGAGTAAGCAAACAGCGGACCGACTAGAGAGAGATTGTGACGGTGTAACAAAACAACAAAACAATGGATTGGAGTGGAGTTATGTCAACGTAAGTTTTTTTATGTTTTTACTAAAATAAAATTGATTTTGTTTAGTGGAAGTTTGATAGAAAGTAAAATAAACATATTCTGTTTATGATTTTGACTGTGCAATTTTCAATCTGGAGGCAGAAAAATTACAACTACAGTTTAAATTGTAACTTAACCTAGAAAGTGGAGAGTTTATTGAGCGGAGCGAGCAAAGCTCTTATAAGTCGACTCTTATGCATTTGGTAATGCGCAAACTCCTCCTAGGTGGCTCATGCAATCGTTTTCAAATTTTGCATGGTGATAAAGACCATATTGGTGAGTGCCAACATCTATATGGCGCTAACAAAATCTCTCAGGACTCTGCCCCACGGGGTCTCAAAGTTTCAATGTAATCCTTATGGACACAGTATTTGACATATAAACAAAGGCATAAAATCAGCTGTTGACTAAAATAGCTGTTTAAAAATTCAGTAGATCAAGAAATAGCTCATAGCATTATTCCACAAATATTAGAACAGAAACGGTATGGATCATAAATATAATCAAATGACGACACTAGCTTGAATCTTATACTAAGGCCTGGCACACACAGTCAAAAATAAATCACCCTTGATTTATGTCTAGGCGCACACGTGGCGATTTTTTTGTTGAGAGTAAAAGAGTACCACACTGTTTGGGAAAAAGTTGATGACTAACCCAGAGGTTTTAAACTTAAAATGTTAATGCAAATGCAGGAATGCAGGTCTTCAAGAAGACCTAAAATTGCATCTCTGTGTTTTTACTCATCTTCATTACTTAGCCAATCTAATCACCCCAATATTTATCTCTACCCAAATGTTGTCTTCACTTAAAACTGCAGGTAAGAAGAATTATGAAGTTCGATAGAGAAGGTCGACAAAAATATAATATGAACCCTGCTGACTCCACTCAATTTTGTGGATGTCTCTGCCAACGCCACCTAGTTAAAGAAAGGCCAAATAGGCTATGCTGGGCTACAGTGAAATGTGTTTTAATTTTAAATTAAGAGTTTAATGTGGGATTTTATTTCAAGACTAGTTAACCGTGCTCCGCCTCGGGAATATTGTCAGCAATAAAAGACATAATAATGAACAAATACTGTTTATCTTTGTGTTTTATTTAGGGACTGCTTGATTTTTTTTACATGACATAGAACTGATAGAAACTATTTATGTTAATCTAACCGATATATTATAATAGTTTAACCAATTCAATGTTTTATGGCCCAGTCAATCTAGGTAAAAAATCATGGAAACCCGGAAATGCGAGATATAAAGCTGAATTTTGGCACAGATGTTCTTTATGATATCCTTGACCATATCCTAAAAGTCCCCTACCGTCCCCTGTGTGCTTCTTCCGGTATAAAGAAAAAAGGGGGGAGGGGACAAATCTTATATATTAAAAAAACTTGGAATTTCTTTTCCAAGCTCGTTTGGCTCTTCTACCGGACCGATTTTCATGATTGAGGTCTCAAATTGAAGGTGTGCACGCACAGACTTGCCATCAAGTATCGGCATATATTTATCTATAAACCCACTCGGCGTATACGTAAACGAAATTTGCTCCCCATGTATTTCTTATGGGAGTTAAATTTGATTTTCTTTTCGGAGTTCGTTTGGCTCTTCTACCCGACCGATTTTCATGATTGAGGTCTCAAATTGAAGGTATGCACGCACAAATTTGCCATCAAGCATCGGTATATATTTATCTATAAACCCACTCGGAGTATACGTAAACGAAATTTGCTCCGCATGTATTTCTTATGGGAGTGGAGTTAAATTTGGGTTTTCTTTTCCGAGTACGTTTGGCTCTTCTTCCCGACCGATTTTTATGATTGATGTCTCAAATTGAAGGTATGCACGCACAGATTTGCCATCAAGCATCGGCATATATATATATATATATCTATTATCCGACTCGGCTTACACGTAAACAAAATTTGCTCCCCATGTATTTCTTATGGAAGTTAAATTTGGTTTTTCCGAGTTCGTTTGGCTCTTCTACCCGATCGATTTTCATGATCGAGGTCTCAAATTGAAGGCATGCATGCCAAGTTTTCACATAAAGCATCGGCAAATATTTACCTACTGTACTACTTGACCGAAACACATAATGTGATTTATTTTCTAACTCTTCAATTTAAGATATACCTTCACCAGTTATAATTTTACAATCCTATATATATGAATCTAAGAACCTTCAGTGAAATACTGGCTTTCTTAAGCTATTAGTTATTCAAATCGGACATGTTTCAAGCAAACGCAAGCTGAACAACCAACATAAAAATTATTTTTCATAAGGTTTTACTATGTGTAAAAATCAATAGCTCCAGTATTGTTAATGTTTTTCTATATGTTTTAGTCTCAAATTAATCAGAAAATTATAGGATTTAATTTGAGCTATTGATTTTTTGAATCATTTAAGCTCAAGATAGTGTATTACTCAATCAAAAATCATAAATTTGATTATCCTGCAACGAGACCTTCTCTGGAGGAACAACTCCTCACCACCGCGCAGTGATGAACACTTCCGAATCGTAGAGCATAGCTGAACCGTCCCTGTTGCTGTCAAAACGCCCCGGTCCTCATAATAGGCCAAACATTAAATTGTTATGTTCCAGTTTCCAAGGTGAAGGAGATTGTAAATAGATCTATGTAAATAAATCTAAATATTATTGTTGAATTATTTTTAGAAGAATTAAGTTTTGAAGATCTTCAGTAATTTAACATTGGGCATAAATTACTATTTTTGTTCATGGCTCTATATAGGCCTACCTGTATATTTAGAATGGCATATTTTTTTTCTTCCTATATTTTTATTATAAAGAAGGAAATAACGAATAACATGGTTACAATATTAATTTTATTAATTGTTATCATACATTTATTTATTTGGTCAATAAATTTAGATAATACTACGGATAGATACTAACAGTAGGTAATTAGAATAAGGTATATGTTTAAAAAAATATATCTACTGACTTGTTAACATTGTTTATACAAAAGTAAAAAAAAAATATTTTCACATATTGCATTTAACTATAAAGTATGTTGCAACATTTATTTAGAATGTTTGCCTAAATATAGGTAGATTGATTTTCATAATTTATTTTCCAGGATACAAAGGAGAATTTTTTGATCAGGATATTATATATTGAGGAAGATCGAAGGATTAGTTTGACTTATATATAGGTATTTGAAACTGTTAATAATTAGTCTACAAATAATTCATAATATCTATCTATATATTAATAGGCAAGCATGTTTCTTTAAAACCTTTTTTCTCAGCTCGTGTTCATCGTAGGGAAAATCTACGCATACCGTTAGAAAACTATTTTCCTGTAGGTGTGCAGAATCCCTTTATAAATTTAAATAGGCTCAAAGATAAGCACAAAAAATGAGTTTAAAAATTTGAAAATATTAACATGGATCTTATGCGTTGCCATGCTGGAAACGAAATAACAACGAAATATAAACAGAAAACCAAAACAAATGGAAGAAACTCAAATCACATGTTTCATTTACAGTGTGGGGTGAAAATAGATAAGTGAGTACATTACGTATTTTTGGTCGAGTTTCGACCACTG